GTCACTGTCGGGAGATCTGCACAGTAGAACGTCGAGGAAAGGAAGTTTGCCATCATTTTCGAGTTCAAGTGTAAACTTTATTGATGGTTCAACTGCATTGATCTTGTTGAGAAGGGCCTGGATATTGAGACGTCTCAGATAGAAAACCAATATATCATCAACGTATCTTAGCCAGGTAACGGTGTTGGGAATGAGGGTGCTGAATTTCTCTGTCTCCAGGTTTTCCATGAAGAGGTTGGCAAGCACAGCACTGAGCGGGCTGCCCAATGCCATCCCAAAGCATTGTTTGTAACAGTTGTCCTGATACGTGAAGAAGTTGAAATTAACACAAAGTTCCACTAGATTGATGAAATCTAGAAGAGGTAAAGGGAGGTCGTGGTTTTCAGTGAGCCTCTGTCTCAGAATGTTGATTGCAGCGTCATAGGTAGAGGTTGTTTTGATAAGGACCTGCCTCGCATGGGCCAGTAGGCCTTCTACAGTGTTCCTCCATTCTTATGTTCTTATGACATTCCTCAGGTCACGTGCGTCACATCTCACTCTCCGCCTATATATATAATGTCTTTCTACCTCTGTATGTTAGAAGTGATCAAGGTCCCAGGACCGAAACGTTTTCTAATAAATATGTTAGTGTTTGCTTACGTGTCTTTCTAAACCAATAACATGTTATAAATAATAATAATACATATTACTAATAACATGTATTATTATTATTATTATTATTAATAACATGTATGTTATTAAATACCACTGCATTGAACCACTGCCTCACCCACTGCCTCAACTGCTGCCTCAACCACTGCCTCACCCACTGCCTCACCCACTGCCTTAACCACTGCCTCAACTGCTTCCTCAACCACTGCCTCACCCACTGCTTCACCCACTGCTTCACCCACTACCTCACCCACTACCTCACCTACTGCCTCACCCACTGCCTTAACCACTGCCTCAACTGCTTCCTCAACCACTGCCTCACCCACTGCTTCACCCACTGCTTCACCCACTGCTTCACCCACTACCTCACCCACTGCCTCACCCACTGCCTCACCCACTGCCTCACTCACTGCCTCACCCACTGCCTCAACCGCTTCCCCAACCACTGCCTCTACCACTCCAGTCCCACTCAATCTACAAGCACCAAACACAATGAATTATTGTGAAATATTTGGAAGAGCACGGAGACTAATGCTCACTCCAGCATAAACAAAGCCACACTGACGATGTGTCAACCACTCCCTCGTATTTTTATACAATTTCCATCTTCAATTCTATAGTATTTATTATTATAATTATTATTATTATTATTACTACTATTGTTATTATTAGCAGTAGCAGAAATGTTTGATTCTTTGCTGTGTTCAAGAGTCAACACATGATGTCACCGCCCAATACCTGTCCGAATAGCCATTCCAATATGCAATCATGAATGGGTTTACATTATTTATACTGTAGTTTAATAGCAAATAATGAACAAACAAAACACTCATCACACTGGTGGGAGGGCTGGCTGCCAGTTGCAGGGGTCGAAGGGAGGGTAGTAGGGACTTGCAGGTGGCGGGAAACTTAAATATGATTTGGCGGCTGGGAATTTGGCGGTTGGTAATTCACGAATGTGTGAAGCCCGCGAAAGTTGAAAACGTGAATGTTGAGGGAGACCTGTATTAGATATGTGCATACTTAACATAACATGAACAATACAAGCACAGTAGATAAATGGTTCAGAGAACCAACAAGTTGATAAATTAGACACATGCCCAATACTTGGGTATCTTTATTGTGGAAACGTTTTGCCACAAAGTGGCTGCATCAGTCCAATACCAAGTAGAATGGTGAAGATCAGAAGGGGGTTTGAGGTAATCAGTCCCTCAGCCTGGAGTTGTTGTTTTCAGTCCATCAATCTTGACTGATGGACTTATTACATTGACTCCAGGCAGAGAGACTAATTACCTCAAACCCCTTCTGATCTTCACCATTCTACTTGGTATTGGACTGATGAAGCCACTGTGTGGCAATACGTTTCCACAATAAAGATACCCAAGTATTGGACATGTGTCTAATTTATCAATAAAGCACAATACAATGATGTTCAAACTGTGAGCTTCATAAGATGTATCATTCCCAATATTAACACCTCATATGCTATGTTATGTTTTTAGAATTTTTTTTTATTAATCAAGTACAAGACGTACATAAATTTCTCCTATATAAAAATGCAACAAAGTTATTTTTAGTTTCAATTCATCCATAGTTTGGATTTTTTTTTTTACTTTATATAAACTACTAATATTATAGAGTAATAATTCAATAAGCCCTCAAAATTTTTTTTGATGTATATAAAAACTCCTAGGTAGTAGGCTGATAGACAGCAACTTCCCAGGGAGGTACTACTGTCCTGCCAAGTAAGTGTAAAACAGGAGCCTGTATTGTTTTACATGATGGCAGGATTGTTGGTGTCTTTTTTCTGTCTCATAAACACGCAAGATTTCAGGTATGTTTTGCTACTTCTACTTACACTTAGGTTACACTACACATACATTTACAAGCATGCATGTGTGTGTGTGTATATATATATATATATATATATATATTAATATATATATATATTATATATATATATATATATATATATATTTATATATATATATATATATATATATAATATATATATATATATATATATACACACTCCTTGGGTTTTCTTCCATTTTCTTACTAGTTCTTGTTCTTGTTTATTTCCTCTTATCTCCATGGGGTTATTGAAAGAAGAATATATAAAAACTGATAAAGATAATGAATAATCAGCAGCATGTGTGAAAAAATGACACTCTAAGTTACATGATCAAAGATACCAGAAAGATTTCCTCAGGGACACAAGGTAACATTAAGGTCAAAGGTTTCCCCACAAGATTAAAACTATGTATGCACATAAAAAAACTGTCTTCTCACATTACTAAATAAAAAAAGGCCTTTCTGGCAATGTCCTCAATCATCAAAATCAGAAATAGCAAGCAATTCCACAAAGGAGAAGAATAATAATGGTCCAGAATGGACAGAAATATCATTTAAAGTTTCCTCTCTGAACTGTGGAGTAGTTGTGAATTCCTCAAAGTTTCCTTTAAAAGAAAAATTATATGAAAATCTAATTACCAGTACAGCTAAGATTACTAGTCATATAATATATTAACCCTCTGAGGGTTCAAGCCGTAGTTCTACGTCATGAGCTCAGCTCACTCAGATAAGCTGTGAGCAGTAAATTTGGGCCTAGATATGAAAGAATGCATCTGTGTGGTAAGTGTGCACCATAGAAAACAAATCCTGCAGCATGCAGTGCATAATGAGAAAAAAAGATGCGATGATGTTCTTGGATTACAACACCAAGTTTGCGGTGTATTTTCGTATGGTTTTTACTGTTGTATTCACAGTTTCTTGTTCTCCTTTGATAGAATGGAAGATATATTACAGAAATAGAGATGATTTTGATTGGTTTTAGTAATGAAAATAGCGTGAAACTGAGCTCAAAGTAGTGAAAATATTCAAATTTTGCCGATGTTCACGAGTAAACAAATGACGTCATGAGTCCAATGCACGTCAACTGATGAGTCTAATATATGTTCACAAATGCGTTGATATTATTTATAGAATTATTACAACATTACTCAACAGTACATCTTCTATTTTTTGGTGTGAATAATAATTCTTCAAGTAAATAAAAAGTTAAAATGGAATTCATCTGTAAAGCCTGGAAACATAACTAATAAACAGAGGCAATGTTATTTTAGTGCCAGGAATACCTGCATTGTTTATTCTGGACTCTATTTTGAAATTAGAATATTCTGAACTATGTGAAATTGGCCAAATTACCAATTTCTGATCGCTGGGTGTGAAGCTTGGGTTGTGAATGCAGCAGCAAGGAGGCGGTTGGAGGCAGTGGAGATGTCCTGTCTAAGGGCAATGTGTGGTGTAAATATTATGCAGGAAATTCGGAGTGTGGAAATTAGGAGAAGGTGTGGAGTTAATAAAAGTATTAGTCAGAAAGCTGAAGAGGGGTTGTTGAGGTGGTTTGGTCATTTAGAGAGAATGGATTAAAGTAGAATGACATGGAGAGCATATAAATCTGTAGGGAAAGGAAGGCGGGGTAGGGGGTCATCCTCAAAAAGGTTGGAAGGAAGGGGTAAGGGAGGTTTTGTGAGCGAGGGGCTTGGACTTCCAGCAGGCATGCACGAGCGTGTTAGATAGGAGTGAATGGAGACGAATAGTATTTGGGACCTGACGATCTGTTGGAGTGTGAGCAGGGTAATATTTAGTGAAGGGATTCAGGGAAACCGGTTATTTTATATAGCCGGACTTGAGTCCTGGAAATGTGAAGTACAATGCCTGCACTTTAAAGGAGGGGTTCGGGATATTAGCGGTTTGGAGGGATATGTTGTGTATCTTTATACGCATATGCTTCTAAACTGTTGTGTTCTGTGCACCTCTGCAAAAACAATGATTATGTGTGAGTGAGGTGAAAGTGTTGAATGATGATGAAAGTATTTTCTTTTTGGGGATTTTCTTTCTTTTTTGGGTCGCCCTGCCTCGGTGGGAGACGGCCGGCTTGTTTAAAAAAAAGAAAAAAAAAAAAAAAAGTAAATTGCAAATAAAGCACCTAAAAGCAAGCAGTTCCTTGATTACCTCAAGTTAACCCTCAATAATATCTCAACTGCCAAGCAGATGCTTTGCCCTTAATTTGTGTGTGAGACAATGACACACTGAATAAAACATGGTACAAGTAAGTACATTACAAGCAAATATATCACTGTGTAAGACTGAAGCTTATAAACAACAAAACAAATATGCTGATAACATTAACAACAACAATTGCAAGCAGGTGCAGTACACAAAAATTAAAGTTGCTCTTTCAACAAAATACTGTAATATCTCTCATGCTCTTATTATTAAAGTTGTCATACAGAACTACGGTAATTAATGGCAAACTGCACAAGAGAGTCCGTGACGCCACTCACCTGAGATGAAGATGAGAAGTATGTCTCAGTGCGAGACTGTTTCATCGTGACACTCTCACTGGTGCTCTTACGTGTGTAAGACTGACTTAAACTGCAAGAAAATTTAAAGTTTTGTTTACATTATAAAAACTCATATTTTTCTATAATCATTATCACATACAGTACTGCATTTCAACTCAGATCTTCACACTGTTTACTGGATTACTTTATTTCACATTCAAAGCACAATAACCTAAGTAGCACTATACAGTTGATCCCCAGATTATGGCATCATCGGATTAAGTAACGTTTCTGCATCAAAATATTGGCTCGACTAACGACAAACAACTCGGTTAAAGTCATTCGTCCCAAATGCGTCCGCGCAGCGTGAGTGGCCCGGACACTCCATGTACAGCCAGTGTGCCATTGTTTACAAGCCAATGAGGACGATTCCACGCGTACATGCGATACATTTTATATTATTCCACTGTTTTTAGTGCTTGTAACTGCTAAATAACCTAGGTAGTAGGTTGGTAAACATCCTGCCAAGTGAGTGTACAACGAAAGCCTGTAATTGTTTTGCATGATGGTAGGATTGCTGGTGTCTTTTGTCTGTCTCATAAACATGCAAGATTTCAGGTATGTCTTGCTACTTCTACTTGCATTTAGGTCACACTACACATACATGTACAAGCATATATACACACACACACCCCTCTGGGTTTTCTTCTATTCTCTTTCTAGTTCTTGTTCATTTCCTCTTACCTCCATGGGGAAGTGGAACAGAATTCTTCCTCCATAAGCCATGCGTGTTGTAAGAGGAGACTAAAATGCCGGGAGCAGGGGGCTAGTAACCCCTTTCTCCTGTATATTTTACTAAATTTAAAAGGAGAAACTTTAGTTTTTTCTTTTGGGCCACCCCACCTCGGTGGGATACAGCTGGTACGTTAAAAGAAAGAAAGAAGAACTGTTAAATAAGCCACCATGGGCCCAAAGAAAGCTTCTAGTGCCAGCCCTTTGGTAAAAAGGTTGAGAAACACTATAGAATTCAAGATAAAGTTTGTAGAAAGATACAAAAGTGGTAGAGGTAGAGGGTACTTCCCCACAAACCAGCCAGGGTACTTCCCCCCACACCAGCCAGGGTACTTCCCCACACACCAGCCAGGGTACTTCCCCACAAACCAGCCTGGGTACTTTCTCACAAACCAGCCAGGGCACTTCCCTACACACCAGCCAGGGTACTTCCCTACAAACCAGCCAGAGTACTTCCTCACACACCAGACAGGGTACTTCCCCACACGCACGATTTGATTTGATTGGGACTTGCCTATGAGTGAATAGAATTTTTTTTTTTTTTCAACAAGTCGGCCGTCTCCCACCGAGGCAGGGTGACCCAAAAAAGAAAGAAAATCCCCAAAAAGAAAATACTTTCATCATCATTCAACACTTTCACCACACTCACACATTATCACTGTTTTTGCAGAGGTGCTCAGAATACAACAGTTTAGAAGCATACACATATAAAGATACACAACATATCCCTCCAAACTGCCAATATCCCAAACCCCTCCTTTAAAGTGCAGGCAGCTTATTTCTTGGGAAGCATTGAAAATTGGGTTGGGCAAATACGATTCTGTTAGTGGGATGGTTTGTGAAGGACCTGCCTAGTATGGGCCTACAGGCCTGCTGCAGTGTTCCTGCTTTCTTATGTGCAAATATTTATGGATGAACATCACCCTGACACAGCTGTTGCAGGCTGTCCTGGCAACATCTACAATGACAATGTTGTGTCTCATTTTAGGGAAATCTTAGAGATGCCAGAAACAGAGCTCTCTGGACAGATATTTTGTGTGACAGGGGTCCAGTACTCTGAAGCTGGTCCTAGCGACATTAAAAAACAAAGAAGGGAAGTAACCCCAGATAAGGACTTGGTACCTGAAGTCTTTATGGAAGGGGATTACCCTTCCAAACACTAGTACACCTCCATCCTCTCCTCTCCTCCTGTCTCATCACTCATCAACATGTCTTCAATAAAGGTAAGTGTCATTTTATTATTTATTTATTCTGCATGTCTCATTGTTTTCTGTGTAAGGAAATGTATATTTCATGTAAAAAAAATATTTTGTTTAATACTTTTGGGTGTCTGGAATGGATTAATTGGATTTCCATTATTTCTTATAGGAAAAGTAATTTGGATTAAGACAGATTCGGTATAAGACACGCTCTCTGGAACGTATTAATGTCGTAATCCGGGGGTCCACTGTACAGTAGGGCCCCACTTATACGGCGGGTTAGGTTCCAGGCTGTTGCCGGAAAGCAGACATCGCCGGAAGGTAGAACTCCATTTTTTTCCATTTATAAATGCATATAAATGCCAAACAACAAGTTTACACTAAATTATATTAAGTTAGTAATAGAACTAGGCATTAAAAACACACAAAGTAAAATACAGTCACAGTAAATTCATTACTTATCTTAAAGTATTTGTAATCTTAATGTAGGGAGAGAGGAGAGTAGTACTTATTTGTAGGAAGTCAGGTGCAGGTAGCCCAGGTGTAGGTAGCACTGGCTCCCCGTCTCATACTTAATATACGATATTTAAAACATCCCAGAGGTAAAATGCACATACAGTACACTCATTATTTTTTTTTTTATTATCACACTGGAGTTTACCTGGAGAGAGTTCCGGGGGTCAACGCCCCCGCAGCCCGGTCTGTGACCAGGTCTCCTGGTGGATCAGAGCCTGATCAACCAGGCTGTTGCTGCTGGCTGCACGCAAACCAACGTACGAGCCACAGCCCGGCTGGTCAGGAACCGACTTTAGGTGCTTGTCCAGTGCCAGATTGAAAACTGCCAGGGGTCTGTTGGTAATCCCCCTTATGTATGCTGGGAGGCAGTTGAGCAGTCTCGGGCCCCTGACACTTATTGTATGGTCTCTTAACGTGCTAGTGACACCTCTGCTTTTCATTGGGGGGATGTTGCATCGTCTGCCAAGTCTTTTGCTTTCGTAGTGAGTGATTTTCGTGTGCAAGTTCGGTACTAGTCCCTCTAGGATTTTCCAGGTGTATATAATCATGTATCTCTCCCGCCTGCATTCCAGGGAATACAGTTTTAGGAACCTCAAGCGCTCCCAGTAATTGAGGTGTTTTATCTCCGTTATGCGCGCCGTGAAGGTTCTCTGTACATTTTCTAGGTAAGCAATTTCACCTGCCTTGAAAGGTGCTGTTAGTGTGCAGCAATATTCCAGCCTAGATAGAACAAGTGACCTGAAGAGTGTCATCATGGGGTTGGCCTCCCTAGTTTTGAAGGTTCTCATTATCCAGTCATTTTTCTAGCAGATGCGATTAATACAATGTTATGGTCCTTGAAGGCGAGATCCTCCGACATGATCACTCACTTGACGATTCCCACCAAGGCAGGGTGTCCCGAAAAAGAAAAAACTTTCACCATCATTCACTCCATCACTGTCTTGCCAGAAGGGTGCTTTTTTACACTACAGTTTTTAAACTGCAACATTAACACCCCTCCTTCAGAGTGCAGGCACTGTACTTCCCATCTCCAGGACTCAAGTCCGGCCTGCCGGTTTCCCTGAACCCTTTCATAAATGTTACTTTGCTTACACTCCAACAGCACGTCAAGTATTAAAAACCAGTTGTCTCCATTTACTCCTATCAAACACGCTCACGCATGCCTGCTGGAAGTCAAAGCCCCTCACACACAAAACCTCCTTTACCCCCTCCCTCCAACCTTTCCTAGGCTGACCCCTACCCCGCCTTCCTTCCACTACAGACTGATACACTCTTGAAGTCACTGTTTTGCTCCATTCTCCATGTCCGAACCACCTCAACAACCCTTCCTCAGCCCTCTGGACAACAGTTTTGGTAATCCCGCACCTCCTCCTAACTTCCAAACTACGAATTCTCTGCATTATATTCACACCACACATTGCCCTCAGACATGACATCTCCACTGCCTCCAGCCGTCTCCTCGCTGCAACATTCATCACCCATGCTTCACACCCATATAAGAGCGTTGGTAAAACTATACTCTCATACATTCCCCTCTTTGCCTCCAAGGACAAAGTTCTTTGTCTCCACAGACTCCTAAGTGCACCACTCACCCTTTTCCCCTCATCGATTCTATGATTCACCTCATCTTTCATAGACCCATCCGCTGACACGTCCACTCCCAAATATCTGAATACTTTCACCTCCTCCATACTCTCTCCCTCCAATCTGATATCCAATCTTTCATCACCTAATCTTTTTGTTATCCTCATAACCTTACTCTTTTCTGTATTCACTTTTAATTTTCTTCTTTTACACACCCTACCAAATTCATCCACCAATCTCTGCAACTTCTCTTCAGAATCTCCCAAGAGCACAGTGTCATCAGCAAAGAGCAACTGTGACAACTCCCACTTTATGTGTGGTTCTTTATCTTTTAACTCCACGCCTCTTGCCAAGACCCTCGCATTTACTTCTCTTACAACCCCATCTATAAATATATTAAACAACCACGGTGACATCACACATCCTTGTCTAAGGCCTACTTTTACTGGGAAATAATTTCCCTCTTTCCTACATACTCTAACTTGAGCCTCACTATCCTCGTAAAAACTCTTCACTGCTTTCAGTAACCTACCTCCTACACCATACACCTGCAACAACTGCCACATTGCCCCCCTATCCACCCTGTCATATGCCTTTTCCAAATCCATAAATGCCACAAAGACCTCTTTAGCATTATCTAAATACTGTTCACTTATATGTTTCACTGTAAACATCTGGTCCACACATCCCCTACCTATCCGAAAGCCTCCTTGTTCATCTGCTATCCTATTCTCCGTCTTACTCTTAATTCTTTCAATAATAACTCTACCATACACCTTACCAGGTATACTCAACAGACTTATCCCCCTATAATTTTTGCACTCTCTTTTGTCCCCTTTGCCTTTATACAAAGGAACTATGCATGCTCTCTGCCAATCCCTAGGTACCTTACCCTCTTCCATACATTTATTAAATAATTGCACCAACCACTCCAAAACTATATCCCCACCTGCTTTTAACATTTCTATCTTTATCCCATCAATCCCGGCTGCCTTAACCCCTTTCATTTTACCTACTGCCTCATGAACTTCCCCCACACTCACAACTGGCTCTTCCTCACTCCTACAAGATGTTATTCCCCCTTGCCCCATACACGAAATCACAGCTTCCCTATCTTCATCAACATTTAACAATTCCTCAAAATATTCCTCCATCTTCCCAATACCTCTAACTCTCCATTTAATAACTCTCCTCTCCTATTTTTAACTGACAAATCCATTTGTTCTCTAGGCTTCCTTAACTTGTTAATCTCACTCCAAAACTTTTTCTTATTTTCAACAAATTTTTTTGATAAACATCTCACCCACTCTCTCATTTTGCTCTCTTTTTACATTGCTTCACCACTCTCTTAACCTCTCTCTTTTTCTCCCATATACTCTTCCCTCCTTGCATCACTTCTACTTTGTAAAAAACCTTCTCATATGCTAACTTTTTCTCCCTTACTACTCTCTTTACATCATCTTTCCCACCAATTGCTCCTCTTCCCTCCCACACCCACTTTCCTGTAACCCACAAACTTCTGCTGAACACTCTAACACTTCATTTTAAACCTACCCCATACCTCTTCGACCCCATTTCCTTTACTCTCATTAGCCCATCTATCCTCCCAATAGCTGTTTATATCTTACCCTAACTGCCTCCTCTTTTAGCTTATAAACCTTCACCTCTCTCTTCCCTGATGCTCTATTCTCCTTGTATCCCATCTACCTTTTACTCTCAGTGTAGCTACAACTAGAAGGATCTGATATATCTGGGGCCCCTCTATAAACATGTACATCCTGAAGTCTACTCAACAGTCTTTTATCTACCAATACATAATCCAACAAACCACTCTCATTTCGCCCTACATCATATCTTGTATACTTATTTATCCTCTTTTTCTTAAAATATGTATTACCTATAACTAAACCCCTTTCTATACAAAGTTCAATCCAAGGGCTCCCATTATCATTTACACCTGGCACCCCAAACTTACCTACCACACCCTCTAAAAGTTTCTCCTACTTAGCATTCAGATCCCCTACCACAATTACTCTCTCACTTGGTTCAAAGGCTCCTATACATTCACTTAATATCTCCCAAAATCTCTCTCTCTCCTCTACATTCCTCTCTTCTCCAGGTGCATACACCTATACACTCATTATTTACCTTAAAATATGTGTAAATAACAAAAAAAGGTACAATACCGTGACTGGAACGATACACAAATAACCCGCACATAAAAGAGAGAAGCTTACGACGACATTTCGGTCCGACTTGGACCATTGACAAAGTCACACTAACCAGAAGTGGAGCAGGACGGCTATATATAGGCAGGAAGAGGTGGAGGTAGTAGTAGTAGTACAAGAAAGGTATATAATACCGACAAGTTGAAATTAAGACACATGTGCAACACCCGGGCATCCCTATCGTAGACGTTTCGCCATCCAGCCAGCCACTGGATGGCAAAACGTCCACAACAAAGACAACCAGACGCCGCACATATGTCTTAATTTCATCAGTAGTTGTAGTAGTAGTAGTGGTAGAAGTGGGAAATAAGGAGGACGAGCCAGTCAAATACAAATGAAGGGGAGCACTGCAAGAGAGCTAGGTGCCCACTGAGGGACAGCAAGCGCACAGAGGTGCGTGAAAGGGGAAGTGGGAAATAAATGAAGAAGGAACAGAAACACGAGACAGAAGAGAGAAAGACAACCCAGAGGAGAAAAGGAAAGAGGAAGAGGGAGAAGAAGAAAAAGAAAAAAAAATGAGGAGTCAGGTTAAGTCACGGGTGTTCTGAAGTTTGGAGCATTTTACAATGTAGTGGGAGAGGAAGGCATCTACAGAGATGAAGCCAGGGCTAAGGTTCATACAAGGAAAGTTGTGTATTAGAGAGGATTCAACTAGACGGCGACTGTTCGAGTTGGAAGTAGGGAAGACAGTTTTAGCAGAAGACCAGTCAATAGGATGGCTATGATCTCTGACGTGACAGAAAAGAGCATTGTTAGTGTCGGCAAGCCTAACACTATTTTTGTGTTCCTTAATAATAATAATAATAATATTATTATTATTAATAATAATAATAATTATTATTATTATAAAAAAGCACTAAACCCACAAGGGTCGTGAATTGCTATACATAGAGTAAAGGCATACGAAAAGAATATTTTTCTACAGTTACCCCCCAGTGTTTGACCAGAGAAAACGTAATTCTTCCGACACTACTTTTATCTTTATATGTGTATCTTTATATGTGTATACTTCTAAACTGTTGTATTCTGAGCACCTCTGCAAAAACAGTGATAATGTGTGAGTGTGGTGAAAGTGTTGAATGATAATGAAAGTATTTTCTTTTTGGGGATTTTCTTTCTTTTTTGGGTCACCCTGCCTCGGTGGGAGACGGCCAACTTGTTGAAAAAAAAAAAAAAAAAAAAAATAAAATATGCAGTAACTTTAAAACACTTGAAATTTTGGAAAGTTTCCTGACATAATAGATGAGGTCACGGAAAATGTAAACAAACCGGGTGGGGGGGCGCCGTATTTGAAAGACCGCTTGCCATATAGCAAATTTTGGTCATAATTTGACATCGCCGTATTAGCGGAACGCCGTGAAGCGGGGCCTTGCTGTATATAATAATTTTCCTTATTTAAGTTTTAAAAACTCTTCAGTAATGGTTAAAACAATTTATATATATACGGCCTTAATTCGAATGTTCTTAAAGGAAAATGCACAAAACAGAGAAAGCAAAATTCTATTTTGGAAATGTTTTACGAGTACCTAGAGACTATTTATGTATTTCAGTGTTAATGCTGTATAAATTCTAAGTGCTAGAAATTATTTTATTATTATTTTTTATTATCACACTGGCCGATTCCCACCAAGGCAGGGTGGCCCGAAAAAGAAAAACTAGAAATATTTACATTAAACTAGAAATATTTACATTAAACATAATCAGTGATTTTTCCAACCTACAAACAAGGGACATTTACCTGCTGCAGCCAGTGCCCAAAGATATGCTAGGGATTGATGACAAAGAATCTGTGCCAAAATCAATATGTGGACTAAATGACACAGAGTTATCTCCTATAATCCTAAAGTTTTTGTGTAGAGCACTCTCAAAGTCAAGGTTGAAGTGATCATGTAGAGAACTACAAGAGTTGAGACTTGTACGGGAAGTTGGATGGTCATCATGTGGTTGGTTCATAGAGTCCAGACTCGATGCTGGAGAAACTTGGTCCGAGGAATGAGATGTACCGGAGCCTCGTTCCAAAGATGCCGACAGTGATGATGAACCTATACTATTGTTAGGCCAATCTGAAGAACTTTCTCTAGGGCTATGATTTAAGGGTGAACTTTGCCCAACAGGGGAAGTTAGATATATTGGGTTTAAAGCATAATTTTCTTGAGAGATTCCCTTTGGAGTTTTCTTTTTAGGAGGTAGTGGAGGTGCCACCTCACTTCGCCTGAAATAAAACAAACCTTTTAAATATTGGAGAATTACCGAAATATTTTAAATATTTAAGACTTATACTAATAAATGTAGAATGACACTGTGCAGACAGTCTCTGATGTAATCTCTATAACTGATAGAACATACAAAAATGATAATGCTTATATTTACAGTTTATTAATATGATTTCCCTGTTGTAGCATGGTGTGTATGCATGGAACCATACAAGAAAATGTGCAGGAACTTAATCAGTTTGTAGCTTTCTGAAAGGCTGAAAACTAAGGGAAAATAATTACAATCCAAAGCTTTGCAATGACGAACATTTAATTTGGATGTCCTCAATAAAATACAGCAAGCCCTCGAGGCTACATTCCTGAAAATTAAAATACAGCATGTCCACCTTTGCAGCCCTTATTTTTAATCATGCAAAAGGATTTTATTTTATTATTATTTTATTCTGATGTTCTAGAATTGGAGCTTGCCACTAAAGACTAACTGTTTATCTATTTCTTTATATAATATGTATGGCTAGCTAGGTTAACATCTTAGAAACAGGAACAGTGTGGATAGTTGGGTTAACATCTCTCAAATATCTACTCAACATATACTGCTAGCTAGGCTGACATTACTCAATTCTTTTTTTTTGAACACACAGGACATCTCACATCAAGGCAGGGTGACACAAAAAAGAAGAAACGCTTTGATAAAGTTTTTTTCTTTTTACATTTAGTAATTTACACAGAAGGGGTTACTAGCCCCTTGCTCCCGGCATTTGAATCGCCTCTTACTTCCACTTTCCCATGGAGACTGCTCAAATATCCACATGATATATGCCAATAATTAGGCTGAAATCTAACAAATATCCATAATGAACAGAATTCAAATAGTTTCTTACCCAAATGGCAAGGGAGGTTTAGGTGGTGGAGACTCCACCTCTGGACCAGTAAGTATAGAATCAGAACTTCGAGAGTGACTGAGCTTCGATGAGGTTTCGCAAGGAAGGAGAAAGCTTCCATTTTTTTCGATGGGTGAGTCTGCCTTAATTTCAGGTAGAGAGTTTCGATGATTCGAAATATCCGAGTGTCTATTGCTGAAAAGAAACATGTAACATAGAAATAATAAATAATATAGTATACTCTACCATACAGTATCTACACTAGTACAGTACAGTACAGTACTGTGCATGATTATTCAAATGAATGAACTTAGTCTCTGAATATCGCAACTATTTATACCGAATCTTCCATTATTATTTAAAACTCTGCAATAATGTAATGTACAGGTTTTCATAATTTCATTCATGATCAAAACTCATACAACAATTGTATTTTATTTACAATAAAAATGTTACTCTTTGTTTTTTAATTTATATAACACATATAGTATTTGGTAACTCCTTCACCTGTATAAATTACTAAATTTAAAAAGAAAATACAGTGGACCCCCGCATAACGATCACCTCCCAATGCGACCAATTATGTAAGTGTATTTATGTAAGTGCGTTTGTACATGTATGTTTGGGGGTCTGAAATGGACTAATCTACTTCACAATATTCCTTATGGGAACAAATTCAGTCAGTACTGGCACCTGAACATACTTCTGGAATGAAAAAATATCGTTAACCGGGGGTCCACTGTACTTTCGTTTTTATTTTAAGGTTACCCTCCCTTGGTGGGATATGGCCGGTTTGTTGAAAAAAAGAAAAAATACTATACGAGGAGGTGCAGCAGTGGAAAATTTGATGTCAGAACTGTTTTTGAAAGACTATACAATGATATATTGAATTCTAATATTTATTGTATATTCGATACTTAACACAAGTACAGTACTTATTAAAAGTGTTAACACAGTGGCAAGAGTATATTAACAGTATATAAATGAGACACAATGAGGGCTATGGCATTTTATTCATAAAGACATTTCATCCATCAGGACCTTCTTAAAAAAAAAATTACCATAATGTGCACTGTCTTATTTCTCTGCTTAACAGAGGTACCATATTTGTTTCAAGAATGATTACTGATAGAATATATAACATACTAACAAGTTTCAATTCATTACATTACTACAGTAATACTATATCATAATATAGTAGGTCTCTGAATTGCAATGTTCCACACTTACGACACTGGAACCAATTAATGATTCATGATCGCAGTTGTGATAATTGCAAATATGTATTCGAACAAATTATTTTCAAATTATTTGGGAGATGTTAAGTGAATGTATAGGAGCCTTTGAACCAAGTGAGAGAGTAATTGTGGTAGGGGACTTGAATGCTAAAGTAGGAGAAACTTTTAGAGAGGGTGTGGTAGGTAAGTTTGGGGTGCCAGGTGTAAATGATAATGGGAGCCCTTTGATTGAACTTTGTATAGAAAGGGGTTTAGTTATAGGTAATACATATTTTAAGAAAAAGAGGATAAATAAGTATACACGATATGATGTAGGGCGAAAAGACAGTAGTTTGTTGGATTATGTATTGGTAGATAAAAGACTGTTGAGTAGACTTCAGGATGTACATGTTTATAGAGGGGCCACAGATATATCAGATCACTTTCTAGTTGTAGCTATACTGAGAGTAAAAGGTAGATGGGATACAAGGAAATAGAAGCATCAGGGAAGAGAGAGGTGAAGGGTTTTTAAACTAAAAGAGGAGGCAGTTTTGGGTAGATATAAACAGCTATTGGAGGATAGATGGGCTAATGAGAGCATAGGCAATGGGGTCGAAGAGGTATGGGGTTTGGTTTTAAAAATGTAGTGTTAGAGTGTTCAGCAGAAGTTTGTGGTTACAGGAAAGTGGGTGCAGGAGGGAAGAGGAGCGATTGGTGGAATGATGAGTAAAGAGAGTAGTAAGGGAGAAAAAGTTAGCATATGAGAAGTTTTTACAAAGTAGAATGATGCAAAGGAGGGAAGAGTATATGGAGAAAAAGAGAGAAGTTAAGAGAGTGGTGAAGCAATGTAAAAAGAGAGCAAATGAGAGAGTGGGTGAGATGTTATCAACAAATTTTGTTGAAAATAAGAAAAAGTTTTGGAGTGAGATTAACAAGTTAAGAAAGCCTAGAGAACAAATGGATTTGTCAGTTAAAAATAGGAGAGGAAGGTTATTAAATGGAGAGTTAGAGGTATTGGGAAGATGGAAGGAATATTTTGAGGAATTGTTAAATGTTGATGAAGATAGGGAAGCTGTGATTTCGTGTATAGGGCAAGGAGGAATAACATCTTGTAGAGTGAGGAAGAGCCAGTTGTGAGTGTGGGGGAAGTTCGTGAGGCAGTAGGTAAAATGAAAGGGGGTAAGGCAGCCGGATTGATGGGATAAAGATAGAAATGTTAAAAGCAGGTGGGATATAAGTTTTGGAGTGGTTGGTGCAATTATTTAATAAATGTATGGAAGAGGGTAAGGTACCTAGGGATTGGCAGAGAGCATGCATAGTTCCTTTGTATAAAGGCAAAGGGGATAAAAGAGAGTGCAAAAATTATAGGGGGATAAGTCTGTTGAGTGTACCTGGTAAAGTGTATGGTAGAGTTATAATTGAAAGAATTAAGAGTAAGACGGAGAATAGGATAGCAGATGAACAAGGAGGCTTTAGGAAAGGTAGGGGGTGTGTGGACCAGGTGTTTACAGTGAAACATATAAGTGAACAGTATTTAGATAAGGCTAAAGAGGTCTTTGTGGCATTTATGGATTGGAAAAGGCGTATGACAGGGTGGATAGGGGGGCAATGTGGCAGATGTTGCAAGTGTATGGTGTAGGAGGTAGGTTACTGAAAGCAGTGAAGAGTTTTTACGAGGATAGTGAGGCTCAAGTTAGAGTATGTAGGAAGAGGGAAATTTTTTCCCAGTAAAAGTAGGCCTTAGACAAGGATGTGTGATGTCACCGTGGTGTTTAATATATTTATAGATGGGGTTGTAAGAGAAGTAAATGCGAGGGTTTTTGGCAAGAGGCGTGGAGTTAAAAGATAAAGAATCACACACAAAGTGGGAGTTGTCACAGCTGCTCTTTGCTGATGACACTGTGCTCTTGGGAGATTCTGAAGAGAAGTTGCAGAGATTGGTGGATGAATTTGGTAGGTGTGCAAAGAAGAAAATTAAAGGTGAATACAGGAAAGAGTAAGGTTATGAGGATAACAAAAAGATTAGGTGATGAAAGATATGAATATCAGATTGGAGGGAGAGAGATATGGAGGAGGTGAACGTATTCAGATATTTGGGAGTGGACGTTGTCAGCGGATGGGTCTATGAAAGATGAGGTGAATCATAGAATTGATGAGGGAAAAAGAGTGAGTGGTGCACTTAGGAGTCTGTGGAAACAAAGAACTTTGTCCTTGGAGGCAAAGAGGGAATGTATGAGAGTATAGTTTTACCAACGCTCTTTATATGGGTGTGAAGCGTGGGTGATGAATGTTGCAGCGAGGAGAAGGCTGGAGGCAGTGGAGATGTCATGTCTGAGGGCAATGTGTGGTGTGAATATAATGCAGAGAATTCGTAGTTTGGAAGTTAGGAGGAGGTGCGGGATTACCAAAACTGTTGTCCAGAGGGCTGAGGAAGGGTTGTTGAGGTGGTTCGGACATGTAGAGAGAATGGAGCGAAACAGAATGACTTCAAGAGTGTATCAGTCTGTAGTGGAAGGAAGGCGGGGTAGGGTCGGCCTAGGAAGGGTTGGAGGGAGGGGGAAAGGAGGTTTTGTGTGCGAGGGCTTGGACTTCCAGCAGGCATGCGTGAGCGTGTTTGATAGGAGTGAATGGAGACAAATGGTTTTTTAATACTTGACGTGCTGTTGGAGTGTGAGCAAAGTAACATTTATGAAGGGATTCAGGGAAACCGGCAGGCCGGACTTGAGTCCTGGAGATGGGAAGTACAGTGCCTGCACTCTGAAGGAGGGGTGTTAATGTTGCAGTTTAAAAACTGTAGTGTAAAGCACCCTTCTGGCAAGACAGTGATGGAGTGAATGATGGTGAAAGTTTTTCTTTTTCGGGCCACCCTGCCTTGGTGGGAATCGGCCGGTGTGATAATAAAAAAAAAAATATTCATTTTTTGCAGATTAATTTGTGCATGTGTGGTAAGCCCATGTTAATTTGGCAAATATTGGTAAAGAACTGCAGCTTTAATTACAATTGTGTTAAAGCTACATCATATTTATTTTTTTTAAATTCTTGGACCCTAACTGTCGCTCTGAGATTTGACCTCTGGACCCTCAAAGAGTTAAATAATAAGTATATATTAATTAAATAATTTTTAATACTAAGAGTATTTGTAAGTGAAAGGTGAACAGAACAGAATGTAAAATACTTGGTAAACATAAATAAAAAATAAATTAATAAGATAGAGAATAATATGGCTCAGAAATTTACCTTCATTTATAACATTAGTGTCTAGAGGACAGGACTGTATTTTAAAGTAAAAAACAAATGACTTACACACAATTTTCAGGAATGTATTAACGTTAAACAAACCATGGTATGGGTGGGAACTGAACTTGTGGCAACTGAGTCGTAAAACTTACCACAAATTCAATCCCCATCCCCATGGTTTGTTTGCAACAGTGTCATTATGATTTCATGAGTCATGTATTACTGTTGCTAGAGAGGATCTGCTGTTTTAAATGGAATACAGAACTGCATTATATTTTAGTGATAAACTCTATATGTACATTACACATATGCTCTTAAATACTACAATAGTCAGAAATCCAGAATAGCCCCACAAACTACTGTATCATAAAAGATCACTACATATCACTACAAAGAATGGCTACTTCATTACCAGAATAATTCCTTACTTCTAATAGTAATACAGTGGACCCCCGGTTAACGATATTTTTTCATTCCAGAAGTATGTTCAGGTGCCAGTACTGACCGAATTTGTTCCCATAAGGAATATTGTGAAGTAGATTAGTCCATTTCAGACCCCCAAACATACACGTACAAATGCACTTACATAAATACACTTACATAATTGGTCACATTGGGAGGTGATCGTTAAGCGGGGGTCCACTGTATAAAAGAAAGTAACAGTACCTGTAATATGCTGGAGATTTTTCTAACGAATTGTTGTTATCGAGTGAGGACGGAGTATTATTAGATTCTGATATGTGCAAATTTTCTTTATCGGCAGCAAGGTCAACCAATGACTGTAAAAGAACAAAAAAGAGAAATGTTGTATTGCAAGTTATTAGGTGAAGTATTCATCTAATAACTTGCAATACAACTTGCTTTATCAAAATTAGTTATAGAGACAACTCACAAAGTTAGACAATAAGGAAGAGATTAAGTGGAAACTTTGTTCCATCTTCTAATGTATGGAAACACCTATGTCAATCAGTCTAGTATTCTAATCTACCAATCTAATCAGTTTAATCAATCTAATCAGTTTAATAAATCAAACTAATCAATTTAATCATTCAAACTAGTATTTAATCTAATTAACCAATAAAAAAATATATATATAAGATGAGAAATGTGCTAGACAAGGTATACAACTACACCAAACTGAGTAAATACCAGTAAGGAACAGGTTCTGGGCAGCATTCCAGCTATTGTCATGTGTCTCTCCTGGGATGCAGGGCCAGGTTTTAGAAGTCCTTAATGTTCCAGTAAGAACATAGGACGTGTAATGTGAAATTGCACCATCTGTACCGTTTGAGTACATGTACACAGTATGCTCTCCCTATGGATTCTGGAATATCATTGATGTGAATCTTGCATTTCATGCTACTATGAAAATCTGCTGTTTTATCTCCCTTCCATGTTACTATCATTCAGTATAAATATTTTCTTAACACCAATCATCTCTGTGAGGTAGGGTGATCCAAGAAAAAAGAGGAAATACATCCACCATACTTCACTCGTTCTTGCCAGTAATGCAGTAGTCTGCATAACAGTAAATCTTCTATTTTTTGTGTGAAAATAAATTCAAAACAGAAAGCAAGAGTAAAATAAGAGGGGCTTCAAGACGTGACTAATGAACTGAGAAAATGTTATTTTAGTGCCAGGAATGTCTGCATTGTTTATTCTGGACCCTATTTTGAAATTGGCATCTTTTTTAATTTGTGTGAAATTGGCCAAATTACAAATTTCTGACCACTTTATTGGGTAGCTGAAATTGGTAAATGGGTGTTTTTTTGTACTCAATCGACAGAACAAATGGAGGTGTAAAGAAATAGTTATGAGTTTGGTCGACTGGAACAATGGAATTGACTGAAAATAGGGCTCAAAGTGGGCGAAGTCGCAGATGCGTATGTATTGCCGAGATCGCTAACTTCGCGAGAGTGTAATTCCGTAAGTTTTCCATCAAATTTCATACTTTTGGTGTCATTACCATCGGGAAAAGATTCTCTATCATTTCATAAGAAAAAAGTTTTTTTTTCTTTTTTTCGAATATTTTGCAACACAGAGAGAGACTTCAGGATTTGGGGTCTTGACAGACAAAGGGTTAAGTGCAGGCATTGTACTTCCCACCTCCAGGACCCAAGTCTGGTTAACTGATTTCCCTGAATCCTTTCACAAAATATTACCCTGCTCACACTCCAACAGCTTGTCAGGTCCCCAAAACCATTCGTCTCCATTCACTCCTATCTAACATGCTCAAACATGCTTATTCCATGTCCAAGCCTATTGCACACAAAACCTCTCTTACCCCTTCCCTCCATCCTTTCTAGGACAACCCCTACCCCTCCTCCCCTACACTACAAATTTATACACCCTCCAAGTCATTCTATTTTGCTCCATCCTCTTTAAATAACTAAACCACCTCAACAACCCCTCTTCAGCCTTCTGAATAATAATTTTAGTAACTCCACACCTCCTCCTAATTTCCACTACGAATTCTCTGCATAATATTTACACTTGCCCTTAAGATACGACATCTCCACTGCCTCCAGCCTCCTCCTCGCTGCAGCATTCACAACCCATACTTCACACCCATATAAGAGTGTTGGTGCCACTATACTCTCATACATTTCTTTCTTTGCCTCCATGGATAAAGATTTTGGCTCCACAGATACCTCAATGCACCACTCACCTTTTTTTCCTTCAATAATTCTGTAGGTAACCTTGTCCTTCATAAATACATCTGCTGACAAATCTACTCCCAAATATCTGAACCCATTCACTTCTTCCATACTCCCTCCCTCCCTCCAATGTGCTATCCAATTTTTCTTTACCTAACTTGTTTGATACCCTCATCACTTTACTCCATGGGAAAGTGGAACAGAATTCTTTCTCTGTTAGCCACGAGTGTCATAAGAGGTGACTAAAATGCCAGGAACAAGGGGCTAGTAACCCCTTCTCCTGTATGAATTACTAAATTTAAAAAGAGAAACTTTCGCTTTTCTTTTTAGGTTACCCTGCCTTGGTGGGATACGACTGGTTTGTTGAAAGAAGACAAAGAAGAAAGTATGTTTGTGCAGATTTCTACTTGGATGCTGGCCCTGGTTTTTCTGTTTAACTGGCTTAGGCTTAATGAGAAGGCAGAAGACTCACAGGTCATTGTATATGCAGGAGGACAGAACACGCAATTAAAAATTTAGTGAACATTGTAGTTTAATTCCTTTCATAATAAGAAAATTTCTAAAAGTTTCCTCATGTAAAGGGAATTGCCAACAAACCCCTAAATGTCTTCAAGAGCAAACTTTGTGTTCTTCCAAACCATTTTTGACCAGTTTGGCTATGGTGCATGTGTCAAACTGTGTACTACAAGTACCAACAACCTGGTTGATCAAGCCATCAATAAAATGCTCTAGAGTGAGACTGAACACTGAGGGCAATAATTCCCAGAAGCATGAACAGGTAGACAAGAGAGAGGTCTCCAAAGAGCTTGAGGAGATTCCCATGATGTAACTTTAATGTGTTTGAATTTATGTGACATCATAATGTACTATTGCATGAACATAAACATTGTACATATATGCCACTCTGTTCTTGTACTAAATTAACATGTATTCATATACAGTATCCTGTAGTCAAGAAATTAAATTTACAAGAGTAATTTTTTAGTGTCTTCCCAGAGGCTACAGATTCTAAATAATAATTTTAATATTTTAACTAAAGAAGATTTATGCAATGGACAGACCTGGATGGCTTCCCTGACTGCTTGTACAACTTGGTGGGCAGTCTGTGTGTTGTGCGTATCATCATCGTGCAACAGTAACTGGTCACTCCACCGCACCAATTCTGCTACACTCTGATGGACACTTGCAAGGACTGATGCTACTGCAGAACTAAAAACCAAAAACTTTTGTCAAGAGCTAAAAGAAGCATCGGACCATTAGAGAATTTACCTAATTATGAATACTATTCAAAACATAAAATCTTTATTAAAAAAATTAAGCCATACAAATACAGTACGATGCTCTTCTTTAAAAGATGGATGCACTACGCAGCATAGTGAAGTATGGAATGACTGTGATATATAATAATATCAAAATACAATAATTAAAACATAACAAACAGTGCTAAGGCAATTCATGTTCATTGCATGTACTGGTATGCTTCAGTATCAAAAGCAACTTACCTGTTTTGGTTTGAGAAGGCAGGCTTTAATGCCAAATTAAGTGCCACCACCATCTCCAGCACCACTGTTGCTGAGCCTGGTAGCATGTCAGTGATGCTCTTATCCACCACATCCTTATAGAAAGCCAGTGCTCGCCACACGTGCTCCACCTTGCTCTCTAAACTCTCGTTGCTTCCGCTAGGCTCTACTTTAACAATTTTGTTTGCTGGAAAACAGAAATTTCTATATTAATGTAGTGAAAAGTTAGTACTGCACTGTTTGGTGTGATTTGTAGAGGGATTTTTCTTTTAACTTGACAAAAGGAGTATCAGGGTCTTCTAGTTTAGAAAAATTGCAGTTCAGGGAACTCGCCTTATTTGTTGTTATAAGAAAACTGTTTATTTGCAAGTTCAAGAGATTATTTGTGATTTTACAACCAAGCATTAATACAACTGATCCCAAAAATCAAAGAAAAACAAGTGCCAAACAAAAATGTACTATGGTTATCCCCCCCCCAACAAAAAAAGTCTTCAGCATATTAAAAATAAAAATTTATTCCTATATCAAGTTTAAACTACAGTACTGTACTGTATAATTAAAGCTAACTTAAAGAGCATTAATCTTGTCTTCCAGAGGCAGAGCCAAGGTTGAATTGTCTACATGGAGTTTCTTCTACCTTCTGTAAGCTAGAATGAAGCCAGGCTTCCTTTCTGACTGCCTGGTCAACAAAGCTGTAGCTGCTTGCAGCCATCAGGCATACTCAGCCATCACAACCTGAGCAAGCACTTGCTGCAGGTAGTGGCCCAGTTTCTTTTGACCACAAATGTATCTATTCTCATATGTTTATGACTTTAACCCTTTCAGGGTCCATGCCGTAGATCTACGGCTTTACGTTGAGGGTCCAACTCGTAGATCTAAGCCATGAGCTCAGCTCACTCTGATAACCTGTGAGCGGTAAATTTGGGCCTAGATATGAGAGAGTACATCTGTGTGGTATGTGTGCACCACATAAAACAAATCCTTCAGCACACAGTACATAATGAGAGAAAAACAACTGAGACTGTAATTTTCGATTAAAACAGCAACTTTGCAGTGTTTTTTCGTGTTTTTTTATAGTTGTATTTGCGATTTCTTGGTCTCATTTGATAGAATGAAAGATATGTTACAGAAATAGAGATGATTTTGAGTGGTTTCAGTACTGAAAATGGCTTAAAACTGAGCTCAAAGTAGCAGAAATGTTAAATTTTTGTCAACGTTCAAGAGTAACAAGTGACCTCACATGTCTAATACATGCCAGTTGGTGGGTCTAATGTATGTTCACAAATGTACTGATATTATTTATACAATTATTACAATACTGCATGACAGTAAATCTTCTATTTTTTGGTTTGAATAAAAATTCATTATGCAAATTAAAAATCAAAATGGAATTCATTTGTAAAGCCTGAAAACATAACTAATGAACAGAGGAAATGTTAGTTAAGTGCCAGGAATGCCTGTATTATTTATTCTGGACCCTATTTTGAAATTGGAATATTTTGAACTTTACACTAAATTGGCCAAATTACCAATTTCCAATCACTTTATTTTGTAGTTGAAGCAGTTGAGCTGGCGATTTCTTGTGCTCACTCGATAGAATAGAAGTAATACTAGTAAAATAGCCTAAGAACTTGGTTGACTGGAATAAGGTACAGTGGAACCTCAAATATCGATCTTAATCCATTCCAGGAGTTAGTTCTAAATTTGAAAAGTCTGAAAAGCGAAGCAATATTTCCCATAAGAAATAATGGAAATAAAATTAGTCCGTTCCAGAAACCCAAAAATATTCACACACAAAAAAATACATTTTATAGAGATTAATTATAGTTTTACATACACACAACAAATATAGTGTTCAATTATGTATTAATAAATTTAAATAAACATATAAAATAACATTTTACTTACCTTTATTGAAGATTGGTGATGGCATCTGGAAGATAGGGAGGAGAGAGGGAGTTGGGGTTAGTGTTTGGAAGGAGAATCCCCCTCCATGAGGACTTTAGGTATCAAAGCCCTCTCTGGGGTTACTGCCCTTCTCTGTCTTTTAATGCCACTAGGACCAACTTGAGAGTCACTGGACCCATGTCTCACAAAATAACTGTCCACAGTCCTCTGTTTCTGGTGCCTCTTTAAGATTTCCCTAAAATGGGACATGGTTCTGTCACTGAACTTGTTGCAAAGATGACTTGTTTCAGCTTGCTCAGGGTGGTACTTCTCCACAAACATTTGGGCATCATTCCACTTCTGTATTATTTCCTTCTTCACATCTATGGCGTTTCTCACTTCTTTACCACAGGGGCACCACTAGCAAGTTTCTTTGGGCCCATTGTAAGTTATTTCATAGTCCCACAAGCACCAAACACAATGAAATAATCGTAAAATGTCTGAATGAGAGTGCAGGTTACTGTTCACTCAAGCATCAACAAAACCAGATTGGCTCACGGCGCCGGCATGGGGACGCAGACAGAGCGGGCTGCCGGACAGGTCCAGTAGACGGTGGTTCGAAAATAGGAGCGAGTTCGATAATAGGAACAAAGTTGGTTCGAAAAAAGGGTTCTATTTTCGAAGAGTTCGATAAGCGATACATTCAAAATTTGAGGTTCTGCTGTAATTGGCCTAAAATGGGAGTCAAAGTTGGCAAAATCACCGATGCATAAATATCATTGGCGCATCAAAATTTGTGAGAGCATAATTTCGTCAATTTTCCATCAAATTTCATACTTTTTGTTTTATTACCTTCAGAAAAAGATTCTCTACCATTTCATAAGAAAAATTAACAAAATTATTTCTTGAAAATTCTTGGACACTGGTGTGCACTTTGAAATTTGACCTCTGGATCCTGAAAGGGTTAAATGAGGCTCTCAACCCTTTCAGGGTCGAGAGGCCCTCTCCTAAACTCGTTCTCAGGGTCGAAAATTTTTCAGAAAAAAAAAAAAAAAAAAATTATGAAATGATAGAGAATCTTTTCCCGATCATAATGACACCAAAGGTATGACATTTGATGGAAAAGTTACAGAATTATGCTCTTGCAAAGTTAGCGGTCTTGACGATGTTTACACATCGGTGATTTCACCCACTTTGAGCCCTATTTTCGGCAAATTCCAGTGTACTAGTCGACAAAAATCATATCTGTTTCGCTAGAACTCCATTTTTTCTATCGAATGAGTACAAGAAACCACCTATTTACCGATTTCAACTATCCAATAAAGTGGTCAGAAATTGGCACTTTTGCCAATTTCACACAAATTTCAGAAGATGCCAATTTCCAAAAAGGGTCAAGAATAAACAAGACAGACATTTCTGGCACTAAAATAACATTTCTTCTGTTCATTAGTCACGTTCCCAGGCCCTTCTTACATCTCTTTTGCTTTCCACTTTGAATTTTTATTCTCATAAAAAATAGAAGATTTACTGTTATGCAGACTACTGCATTAGTGTAGAAATGGTATAAATAATATCAGCGCACTTGTGAGAGAATATTAGACTCACCAGTTGACGTGTACTGGATGCTTGGCATGATTTGTTTACTTTTGAACTTTGGTAAAAATCAAACATTTCTGCTACTTTGAGCTCAATTTCAAGGTATGTACTTTTCTTTATGAAACCAATCAAAATCATCGCAATTTCTGTGATATGTCTTCCATTCTATAAAATGAGACCAAGAAAACTAAAATACAACCATAAATACCATACGAAAATACACTGCAAAGTCGTTGTTTTAAACCAAAAACATTTTTTTTTTCTCATTATGCACTGTGTGCTGCAGGATTTTTTTTTATACTGTGCATACTGACCACATAGACCCATTCTTTCATATGCAGGCCTACCAGCTTTCTCTCACTAGATTTGAAGGCACTAGAATTTAGGTGTACAAGTACAAGTGCAAGTTTAATCCGTTCCATGACCTTGCTCGCAACTGGATTTGCTCGTTTGCAGAGTCAATTTTCCTCATTTAAATTAATTGAAATGCAATTAATCCGTTCCAGTGGAATTCTGTACTTCAATAGTTTCGCTAATATCAACTCTACGGCTTATTTATCCATCTCACTTCATCTAATATGACATAATAAACAATATAAATAACATAGAAACCTGATATATACACCTACCATCCGACTTACGACCTTCTCGACTTACGACCACTCGACTTACGACCACTCGACTTACGACTGTGTTTTTTATGCCAAATTTCTGGGGAATAAACAACTATTTGTGTTGTACACAGTGTTTATCCTAAACCTTACAGTATAAAATACAGTATTAACAACATAAAAAGTAAAGTAAAACATGAAATACCAAAATAAAACAATAAAATAAAGTCATTACAAAAATGTTTTGTTGATATTCAGTAGTAAAGTTCGACTTACGACCATTTCGACTTACGACCGGTTTCTCGGAACCGAACTCGGTCGTAAGTCGGATGGTAGGTGTACTCTAAAATGAATAAAATATGTCATTCATGTAGTGGTATGGGCGGTGGCGGCGGTGGACGAGAGTTTGTCTGGGGACCGGGCAAAATACTTCATGAATAATTTCGCTAATGTCATCTATATGACTTATTTATATATCACAGTTCATCTAATGTGACATAACAAACAATATAAATAACACAGAAACATGATATATACTCTAAAATGAATAAAATATGTCATTATGTAACAGGTGGAGGCAGCCACAATCGCTTCCTCTTTGTTGTGGTAAACACTGCCATCTAGTGATGGCCTTTTGAAGCCATATATTATTATTATTTTTTTTTTTTTTTTTTCAACAAGTCGGCCGTCTCCCACCGAGGCAGGGTGACCCAAAAAAGAAAGAAAATCCCCAAAAAGAAAATAATTTCATCATCATTCAACACTTTCACCACACTCGCACATTATCACTGTTTTTGCAGAGGTGCTCAGAATACAACAGTCTAGAAGCATACACATATAAAGATACACAACATATCCCTCCAAACTGCCAATATCCCAAACCCCTCCTTTAAAGTGCAGGCATTGTACTTCCCATTTCCAGGACTCAAGTCCGACTATATGAAAATAACCGGTTTCCCTGAATCCCTTCACTAAATATTACCCTGCTCACACTCCAACAGATCGTCAGGTCCCAAGTACCATTCGTCTCCATTCACTCCTATCTAACACGCTCACGCACGCTTGCTGGAAGTCCAAGCCCCTCGCCCACAAA